CTAAGCAAACGGCACCTACTTGTAATTCGCGGCTTTCAGCATTTTGATCAGGTTAAGGCAAGTTGTCCCTGTGTCTAATTAAGCACGATGTCAGGAAGGCGTATGGGGGAGTAGTGGTGTTTCTCCACACGTCTTAATCTTTGCAGGAGATGAAGGTGAGTGGCCACGCTCCAGCCACAACTTCCCCGGAGAAACGAGTCTGTACTAACAATCAGCTAGGATGCTGGGTGAGCCCCAGAAGCTTATTCAGACGCGGCTATTTAGTTCACAGATGAGGAAATGGGGCTATGCCAAGATCCTATTCATTAAACATTTGGTCTTCTGGGATGATACTGTGTATATCTGTGGATGGATACTGACTTTACGAAGGAATATGTTGCCTTCATTTTCAGGGTTGAAGTGTGTATGTTCATGAATTACGTAGGCAGGTTACGAGGAAGATGGTCACGTGTCCTACGGAGAAGTGTTGACAAAAACAGGCTGATATGTCCAATGGAAGAAACGGTCGGTAAACGGCCAGTTTAGGGACACACAAAGTTACGGGCACACGTGGGAAACGGAACAGTGAGAAGAGATTTAATTTTGTGGCAGCACATTCTCAGAAAGGTCCAATCCTCCTACAAAACTACATGATGTCATAAGCGAGATGAATACAACTAACAATCGCTGAGTGAAAACCCAAAAACTTATATCCTATAATAAATAGGACATAATTCAGCTTAGCAATTTGTGTGTTTAATCTGTTCAATTTAATTATTTGTTAATTTGTGTGTTTAATCTGTTCAATTTAATTATTAGTTAATTATATAAGACAGCATGTTGCACAGATCCCAGATTTTATGCAGTGATAGGTTATTTCACTTGAAGTCCAGCAGTATTATTAAGGAATGCAATGTTTATTAAGGAATGCAATGTTTAACACTTGTGAAAATTTGCACTCGAATGCATTTTGCTATGACCAAAAAAAAATTACTGAGACAATAAGTAGGACTAATATGCACTAATGCAGTCATGCCATATAGGGGAAATATTTTCGGCAACAGCTTCCTGCAAGTACGAACTTTATCAGAATTGCCTAATCTGCTTCATCAGCTAGCAACACAACATGACAATGGTGAGTGAATAGCCTAACACTGAGCACAAAGCGCCTATGAGTGGGACCACAATTAGGACAATGACCCTTTTTTTTATTATTACTAGTGAGGCGGGACTAACTCCCTTGTACTGCGGCCACTTGTGGCCTATTTTACCAGCCCCAGATAAGAGGTGAGGGTGATTGTGGAGCAATTGGTGGAATGAAGATTGGCAGGTGAAACCGAAGTACTTGGAGAAAACTTTGTCCACAACAAATCCCACTTGACCAGACCCGAGATGGAACCCGGCCTGCCTCGGTGGGAAGCCAGTGACTAACCGCTTAAGCTATGGCGCGGCCTTGACAGTGTCCTATAAACTTTTACCTAAATTGTCGGGGGAAGGTAATAGATTTTAAGAAGGGCACGGTCTCAGCATTAACATAAACATTCAATTTCTTCACGTGCACATTTTTGTAATCTTCGTGGTGCAAGAAAATGTTGATGAGAAAGAATGAGAGATTGGAGACGTTTCTTCCATTGACATATACAAAACATTTTGTACCATTAGTACCTTAGGAGCCGGGATAGTATAGTCGGTATATCGGCTGGTTACGGGGTATACGACCGAGAGGTTGAAGTTCGAGTCCCGATAGGGTCTCGAATTTTCTCTTCTCCACTCTGGGGTCCACACAACTTCCTATCTAATGGGTAACGAGGGCTCTTTCCCTGAGGGTAATTTGGCCAGGTCGTGAAGCTAACCACTCACCTGTAACTAGTGCTGAAGTCAAGAAAATGTGGATCTATACATCCACTGCCCCACACGACTCCATGGCGTAGTTCTTAATTAGTTAAGGACAGGGACAACTTTACCTTATCTTTATCATTATTTTCTTTCCTGGTCTTTCCCGTCTCACAGGTTCCCTCAATTCCAAAGGTGTTGCTACTGTGGGTTGGAACCTAGTGACCCTAGTGACCCTAGTGACCACGAAACGAAAATCCCTTATTGGGAGAAATTTCCCTTCGGTTATAAAAAAAACGATGGTACTACGTACACTATTAATATGGATTTGTGTGATTAACATTACAAATAGAAATGCGTATCTGAATATATAATAGGGTATAACACTGTGGGCATACGAAGTAAAGACGAAGAAGTAAATTATTTTTACGTCTGTATAAGCTCCAATGGTTGCAGTCCTTTCGTTAACGTTAAGTAATGAATGTTTTAGGAGTGAGTAAGATACTTGATATGTGAAATGGATTTGAGGTTATGTTATACTACCGATTTCATGTAAATATCATTCTTCCGAGGAAATTAATGCTGACATTGGGTTCATTATCGTTGCAGGTCATTGCAAAAGTGGTCTGTAAAACCGAACGCCAGTCTCTTGTGAAACTAGTAAAATATGCAGAAACTGGAATACGATCTCAGCATGTTTGTAAAGGACGAATGTATTCAGTCAGCGAAACTAATCAGGTAGGGAGACAGGATCCAATAAGGGCGTTTGGCCACGAAAGTCCGATACTTACTGGTAAAAATGGTAATAGTGCTGGAATATGTCATTTGGTTCCAACAATTTCAGGCTTCATAGTGGTTCAGTGCTTATCCAATTTTTCGATAGTGGGGTTTATGTTGACATTTCGGAAATCCATATTGTCTCCAACATCAGGGTGAGATGATACTTTTTTTTATTTCCGCTTTCTTTAAAAAACTTACATCCATCTCTGTCTCTGGTTGCTTTGCTTTATGGCAAGGATCTCCAAAATGTCACTTCCACATGGTCCCATCACCAGAAACATATTCAGTGTTTGAACCTAATAACTGTGAACTTGTGAGTTTTGGAGAACATATGCTACATTTCCAGTTGATACAGACTGTAAGCACAATTTCATAGTTCTCCTCAATCTTGAAATATGTTATGGCAGTTTCAGCTACTTTCACCCACATTCCTTTCATTTCACCAGTTATATACATCCTACTATACATCAAGGCATAAATTTGGTAGATCTGAGAAATGAGACTTTACTTTTGATAAATAATGCTAGGTGGACCATAGAGGAAGGCAAATAAAAAGTTGTGACTAATAAAAAGAGGGGTCTTTGATATAAAGTACTTTGTTCAAGATATGTACTGACTGAATGTGATTTATGGGCCAAACAGGCAGTGATTAATCTGTGACTATTGATGGCTGACGGCAATATGACTCAGTGTAAAAATGGCTTACACAATATGTCTGTTTCTTAGGACAGGTGGTTAGGAAGTAAGTAAAGTCAAGTAGAATTGCTTATGGCTATACAATTTAGGTACCATATTATCATTAGGAGAGTGACTGAAGGTTGGTTAAGTATTCAAAAGTATGGAAATCCATTGTTATGGTTTTAAGCTCATTGTAAACTAACTTTTACACTTAAAAGAGTGCTACCTTCTGGTATGTGATGCCATGAAGGCCACTAGAAGTTCCATGATGTTTTCGAGGAACAACTATCTTAAATGTTGAAGAGTAAGCTAAGGAAGCAACAAGGTTACTTTTTGATCCTGAAGAGGTAGCAGACATTCCTATGAAATGATGGTGAACTTCTACCAGACTACATGGTGTCACTTGCTTCTTAGTCACTGCTGTCAGAACCTCAGACCTAACAAGGTTTAAGACAAGAGCACACCAAGGAAACTGGCAACCGCACTTTCCAAGAATTCTTATCAGCCTTGAGTTAAACGTGTGTTACTGAATGGAGCAGAATGAATTGAGGAAACTGCATTGCTGTTTCCTCAGTTTGCACTGCTCCATTCAGTAACACGTGTTCAACTCAAGGCTGACAACAGTTCTCGGAAATTGCGGTTGTGTTGAGGTTTTCACTTTCCTTTGTGTGCTCTCACCCTTGCACTTGTTGTACCTGATGCTGTGTCTTTGTTTACATTCCATCCCATAGATGGTATGAAGTATAATGCTTTGTGAACTTTATGCAAGAACTGGATAAAACTTATATTTTCTCATACTCTGTAACAAAACATAACTCTGAAGCAGCTGTGCTACAAAGCCATCTTTGTCCTGTTCTGTATATTGGTGAGTTTATTCTAAGGCTGAGGTACTAAATTATTATGACATACTCTTGGATACATTTTTTAAATCCTGTTTTATAAGGTTTATATTTACCTTAGAGTTGTACATTTTTTTTACATCTGATATAATTGTGCATATTACATATGAAGGATAAAATCAGGCATTCCATGCAGTGCTGAAGACAATGTATGACACAGAAATAGTGGGAATACATGAAACAATATTGCATCTTTTCTTTCAGAGTGAGGAACTAGACAAATTATATCGAATGGTAGAGGTGGAGGTTAGAGGAAATGATCCTGCTGTGCTAAAGAGTTACACATGGTTTGCAACAACAGCTGCAAAAGAGTTGGGGATCACAATAGGAGAATGGTAATCTTGATTTTTGTTACTTTGACATGTGGTCATTTGAAATATGTGGATATTTCTCAGAGGAATGTCTTGTTTCTTTGTTTAACTTACCATGTCATGCAGTCTGTATAGTGGTGATGGGAACGGAGTGCTTTGGAATGATGAGATGATCTGGAGGGATACACTCATTGCTTACTTTAAAGTACTATCTCAGCACTTGCCTGGAGAGGTTAGAGAGAAGCACAGGACACTGCAGGTAATCAGTCTCCAGGTTTGAAACTCAGGCCCTTCAGAATACAAAGCAAGAGAGCTAACCATTACATTACTTTTTTCTTTCTTTTACACCTGCCATTTTACAAAATTACTAGACACAGAGTGAATCTGGTGTACGTTATTTAGAGGGTGATATAAGAGAGATGAAATGTATCAGAAGTCCTGCAGACTGAAGAAGAGGTATATGTACTGGGTCTCAATGTTGGACAGCTGAAGTTACACAAGTATTGCCTTGTCTGCATGAATTCTAGCTATTCACGTTTCTTATGTTCACAGACCAGTAACCATCATGGTGTTTGGCATTTACTGTATTACTGTAATGGCAAATGTGCACAGTCTAGCTGACTGTGTGACGCATTTTTTCAGTATGAATAGCATTACTCTCTAGTTAAATTCTGGCTCTCAGTGCCATAGTACTGGGCAATTTAAAATACTGTGTTCCTAGATGATACAAGTTAATATGCTTGAGAGAGTAATATGAAATTATAGTTACATTTGGTACACATATTGTGCAAGGTAAATGCATGGGAAATGTCACTACAGGTGTAGGATGTATACATCAAACCATGCATACATACCTTATAATGGGTTATTTAACAGTGCCTTCAGTGTCAAGACTATATAGCATCAGATGTTAGGATTGTATGTGAATGATGGAAAGGTCTTAGAAGAAAATTATCATGGCATAATGGAGGTACTATTCCAGCATCTGCCTGGAGGAGCTGAGGAAATCGACGAAAAACCTCAATCAGAATATCCATGTCTCAGCCAAGATCTGAACCAAGCACCTCCCAAGTACAAGCTTAATAACACTCTAAAGGTAACTGTAATTATAACACATAATTTTCCCCCCCCCCTTGACACTACAGCCCCAGTGGGCCTAGGCCTATCTCCATGAACTTCTCCGTTCACTTCGGTTTTTCTAGATCTTACACGTTCGGTAGGACTCCTTGGGCTGGTGATCAGCTCGTTGCAAGGCCTCTACCTGTACACAAACACAGAAAAACACACACAAACATCCATGCCCTGAGTGGGATACGAACCCACGATCCTGGCATCCGAACGAGCGAAGACAGTGCGTGCCTTAGACTGCTCGGCTACTGTGACCGGCATAACACATAACAACTACAAATAATTATAACACTAAAGATTACTGTAACCATGTCCAATAAAATAAAGTCTTCAATGTCTGCTTGGTAACAAATCTTATCTGGTTAACACTTCAGCTATTGAACTGCCTTGAATAATGTCTGTTAAATGAATCTTGAATAGTCTGCAGTCTCTTGAATTCTCAATTTGAATCTCTACTCTGTCACACTCTCTCTGGCTGTCTGAATCTTGGACTAAGATAACTTCATGCGGACCAAACATAAATCACCAAGTTGAACAGTCAGTTGTCTCTGTTATTCTCTGTTTCATCAGTTGCCATGAAAATGTGTAACATTCTCTAGGCAGCGCTTTGATTTATACAAAAATATGTGTTGCAGCAGAAACGTGTTTTACCTAGCTGTTGTCTAGCAATGGACGTCTCTGCTGTGCTTCTCTGACTGCACACTTCCAGCATTCAGATGTCATGTCACAATACCACAAAAACTTGAAACACAAGTCTCAAGAAACTACTGTGGTGCGAAGCAATTTTGGTCACCATGTCATTAAGGCAGCAGGGGTGGAAAATGCATGGTTCACTAGCCTCCCCAATACCTACTGGAGAGGAAGTTGGATGGGCCATAGAATCATTTTGGGTTTTGTGACATAGAACATTTAGATAAGTAATCCTGAAAGCGTCTTTCTGATTGGCTAAAATATAGTTAAGTATAATTTTGGGGTCAGGTTTAAATTGACTTCTAAAAATGAAACTTAAACACAATCTTTCAAATGGTGGATAAAAGGAGAGGCAAGTTCTATGATACTAATAGTTGCAGTTTTCTTTTTTATGAATGGCAGCATAAGCTCTTAATATTATGTTCCAGCTGGACACCTCGCAAAGCAAATCATGAGCGCCTCACACTTCTCAAGTCTGTTCACATCTACAAGAAGCATCGGGTACAGTATGAAATACGTACGTATTTCCGCTTCATGCAGTTCCTACGTCTCACTGGTTCCACAGCTGATACCTTCCTCGAGTACATCCAGCGTAACCTGCCAGAAGGTGTAGCTATGAAAGTGACAAAAGTTGAAATAACAGCCATCCCATCACACATCAGAACCCCAAATGAACCTCAGCAACAAGCCCTGTCATCAGGTGTGCAAGCAAGCAACCAATGAATGGACCACAAAAACAACATATATGATTCTGGAATGTAGTAGCATAATTGTGCTTGTTAATTTACACAGAATGTAATAAATATAATGTGTCATCTTGTGATTGATTTTTTTTTCATTTTATATTTGTTGTAATACTTCTATACTATTTTAAATTTTTGAGTAGTAATTTAGATCTCCAATTAAGTCTCATTATTTAACTGAACAGGTAAGGCACTGTAATACAATGCATGAATTTGATGAATATTATTAATTTAACTACAAAATTCCTGCTGCTGTTTAACTGTGATGTACACTTTTAAACAATAAGTTCTGGGAAGAACTAATTGCCTACTTTCCTTTGATATAACATGGGCAGCATAGAAAATGATACCTCCAAGAATTTTTTACTACCATGGGAACATCTTCACCAAGCTGTTACCTAGCAACAAGGGGACACAGACATGTGTCAAACAATTCTTCTATTGTTGTGTGTATTTGTTGCCATGGGAATGTGTTTATCAAGTCATTGCCTAGCAATGATGAGGAATACACTTTACCAAGCCTTTGCCTAGAAATGATTGGAGGGATTTATGAAGTATGCTGTTGAGATGGGCTCAGAGACCATGATATACATGCCAAGTTTCATAAAGATTGGATCAGGTGTTCAAAAATTAATGGGGAAGGGAGAGTCACAGACACACAGTCAGTATGAAGATTGCATTAGCCTGCTTTCACTTTTTCAAAATAAGGAAATAGGCTAAAACTGTCATATGCTTGAATATTTGTGCTATCAAAATTATCATCCAGCCATTATATCATCTTTATCACTTTTTTGCTAGTACTTGCTTACAATTCAAGCCCAGACCTATTTTAGTCCTGGCATTTAACCTCACATTTGCACATGTAGCATGCATGGAGAAGAGGAGAAGTGCATACAGTAGTTTAGTACTAAAAGTAAACCTAGAGGAAGGAGACAGTTGAGAGAACTGGACATAGATGACAGGATAATATTCAAATGGGTCTTAAAAGAAATTAGATGTGAGACTATGTATTAGATTCAAGCAATGGGCTCTTTGAGGACACAGTAATGAACCTTTGGATTTCCCAGCAGGTAGGGAAATTCTTGATCAGATGGCTGATATCAGCTTTTCAAGGACTAAGCTCTACGAGTTACATACATACATACATACATACATACATACAGTTAGTTTATGACATGATGGATGTTATCTGTTGCTTGAAATGAGGTATTTTAACCCATTATAAACTTCTCATTAGTGGCAGTTCTTTTGTTAGATTAATTTCTTTTAAAGTAACTAGTTATAAGGATTACAGAATCCTTATAACTAGTTACCTCATTTTCAGGATTTCATCTGGGGCATGTATGAATTAAAATTAACATTAAATATGAGTATTTAGAGCCAACCAACCCACTCCATAGCATTGTGAAGCATAAACCATATAAACAGCTGGAAGACTTCAAGCCATAAACTACTACCCCTACCCATAATATGTACACATACACCCAGGAAAAGCAAACACGTTCTCTGGCTCAGGTGATCTCTAACTGGGACCCACTGACCCTTTATATGATCACACAATTCTTTGTCACCCATATCAATGTGAATAGTGGGAGGCGGGGGAAGAGAAGACACACTACCATACACACACACATGAATGCATGAAGAAAGGTCTGAATAGGGCACTTTAAAAGTCTCTAAAACAGGTGCTGACCCATTGATGCTACATAAAGGTAGATACCAGGAAGGCAAACCATTCAGCCATCACAAAGTCCACTCACATAGTGTCCTAAGTAAAAAAAGAAAGTAAAGCTATCCCTGTACCAGGCCGTGAAGGGCCATATGATTATGAGACATTGAGGGTCCCACACTATCTAGACAATTGGCTCAAAGATGGCGGTAAGGTCAGCTTTACGTGCCGGCCACGCTTTACTCCCCAGGAAAATTATTTAATTAATTTCTGGTATTCATTTCTGTTAGAGGCTGAGTAAACCTCAGGGCCCAGTGTGGCTGGAAGGATTAAGTCAACTGAAAAAAATCCAATGACCTCATCAGGGCTTGAACCCGTGACGACCTTCCGGCTTGTAGCATAGCCCCTCAACCACTATGCTACCGCGTGCCCCCCACCTAGTGTCCTGCGTAACAAATATATTTTAGCATGCGCCATTTACTGACAGGAAAGAGTGATTTGGGAAATTGATAACCTCCATTCCAGGGTGTTTTATTCCTGACTGAAGTTAACAGCTTCTTGATGCAGACATGAGGTCATACTGAGGACATGCAATGAACAAGGCTCCAAAGATACAAGTTATCTACGCACTTGAATTATGCGTACTATTACATTTCAAAACCAAATGTTAAAAGATCATGGAACATAAGTAATACATTTTTTTAATTAGTTTCCTGTACTTCATACACAATACAGAAATATTCTTATCTTTAAATAGAATTTACATTATTAACACAGAGATATTTTTTTTTGTTTTTTGTTTTTGTTTGAGACTCCCATATTTATTATGCAATCTGAGTTAATACATTTAGCATAATGATGTGAAAAGGAAAGAGAAAGAACGTGTAGAATACCGCTCATTAGCGGTGCTCCTTGTGCAGTAGATAAAGTCTGGTATGATTTGTGGGAGAATACTTACAAACTAGGGACTTAAGATCTAAATAATAATACTACATTATACAAGAAATCTGTTTGGGAGATCATGTGGAAGATGTCTTCTCAGTCTGCGGAGAGGCGGGGGTGCAGAGAGTTGAGACACTTCTTGGTTAATGTGCATGTTGAGCCGTGATCTGTATTTCGAACTTAGTCGACTGATTTCTTCTTGAACTGTAGGTATTTGTAGATCGTGTCTGATGATGGCATTGGGGACATACCAAGGGGCGTCCGTTAGCAGACGCAGAGCTTTAGACTGAAATCGCTCAAAGATGGCAATGTTGGTGTTCGAAGCAGAGCCCCATAGTTGAATGCCATATGTCCACACAGGTTTGATGATGATTTTGTAAATGAGGAGCTTGTTGTTTAGAGTTAGTTTAGATCTTCGTCCAAGTAGCCAGTGTAG